TTTATGTATGGAATGTTTTGAATAAAAAGGAATTTTGTTGAATATTTTCTTTATTCACTAAAAGAAAATCAATACAACTAAGAAAACAAAATACATGAATTACCACTAATTTATTAAACAAACAAAAAATACAATGAAATGAAAGGCAAGCAAACTAACTTAATGGTTTTGATCATTTAACCAATCCGTGTTGCTAAGTCCATCGTCACGAAAAAGCTTTCGTCTCATAACCTCCCTTCGTTCTAGCTTCCAAAAATTTTGTGTTTCAGGGGACATCTGGCTTGTATTCATGGCCATGGTTTCTCGATCCTTTTTTTCAATGTTTTCTTGGTGTACATACTCCCTTTCTTTTGCATATTCTAGTTGAATTGCCATATCGTGCTCTTGTTGTTTCATATCCATTTCAATTCTCATGGCTTGGTGCTTTGAAATGTCCTCCAAAAATTTAGATGCATTCTTGGTAGAATTACTCCCTCTCTTCGCCTTCGCCGCTTTCCTCCCAATAGGCCTAGGCTCCCTTTCGATAGGTGAGTCTTGACTCATCGGGGAATCCATAGGTGAATCCGATGTCGGTGTCTCATGGAGCGGCGTCTCGTTCAACACCACATGTGGACCCGTTAGAATAATTTGGAATCTCTTACAATTCTTCACTGCCTCCCAACATTGGGTATGATTGAAACTTTTTTTGCCTTGCCCAGTAGCACCAAACAACATTTGTGCTTGCATAATCTATAAAAAAAAAAATGGAAATGCAACAAACTTTAAAATATATTGGCAATGCAACATGTATAAAAAAAAATAATGGAAATGCAAGAAATTTTAACAATTTATTAGAAATGCAATAAATATTAACAAAATATAAATATTGCAAGAAACATTTAAATAAATATTGGAAATACAAGAAATATTAATAAAATATATAAATTGCAAGAAACATTTAAATAAAAATTAATATGACATAGAAATTAATAAAACGAAAATTACAAATAATTTACCTCATTGCTAAGGTTTTCCCCACTTTTATGGTTGTCCATCGCTTTTGCCAAGGCATCTCTCCATTTCGCCAACTCTTTATTAAGAATTTTCCACCTACTAGATAATGTCATTTCCGTACGGGTCGAACCAATTGCCATTTCACAAAATTCCTTATGAATTTTTTTCCACATATGACAGAATTTCATCTCATTGCCCGTTATAGGACAATGACTAATTTGGACCCAACACTGACACAACAAAACATCTTCCATCGTGCTCCATGCCCCTCCGGTTTCATTAGAAGAACCCATAATATGATAGAGAAAAATACAACTTGAAAGTGAAAAAAAATATTGAGTAGAAGGAGAAGAAAATGTATGAGGATTTGGTGTTAAAAGTGAAGAGTATTGGTTGGTATTTATAGAAAACAAATTTAGTATTTTTTTTGTATTTTTTTAAAAAGATTTTGATTTTTTTTCAATTTTTTATTGCACAAAAATTGACTGTCGTTGGATTGCTGGAAAACATCATATCGGAGAGCCCAACGCGCTCCACGTGGAAGCTAGCCGTTGGGGAACTGTAGCGGGCGCATCAAATTTTTTTTAACGTCGTTAAAAAAATTTGAACGCCAGGGCTGACGTCATCCCCAAAACTCGTTTTGGCGCTCGGGCCAGCCCAGTTCGCTGGGTCCCACTCCTTGCCCGAGTCACTTTTTGTTGCTGGAAACAGCATTTTGGGCTTCCCCCCCCAGCCCTCCCCTAGGTCCCCTTGTTGGAAATGCTCTCATAACCACTCGTCTTCCCTAGAGTTACTATTCATTCTGGATACTATTCATTCTGGATGCTATTCACCCAAAAACTATTCACTCTTTCCGTCCACTATTTATACCCGTTGATCATCATCCACTTT